TGCATGCTCCGCTCCTTCCCATTCCCACTCCTCCCCATGGAGCAGGCCATCAACAGCATCATGCTGTTCGGCAGCTTCCATGCTTTCATCCATGCCATGGCTCGCCACGATAGCATCCGCCCGAAGTTCAGACACGCTGATGACTCGAGAGAGCTTTGTGTGAACAAATGCCATGTAGCCGCGCTCGAATTCCGTGTCTGTGCGAGGTCTCGGTTTGGCAGAGCCTCCAGCAACATAGCCTTCCATCAAGACCATGCATGTCTTTGAAAGGGGGCCGAACTGGGATGAGATATACCTGCCACGATCTGTCATCTGGCCGCTGGAATCTTCCACGCCCATCTGCTGGATGCATGCTTCCATCGACTTCAAGATCTCAGGAGTGCACTCGGTCACAGGGCGGAACGCCTCACGTTGAGGAGGAGCGTTCTGGAAGAACTCGCCACCCTGCCAGAAAGCGTAGCGTGCAAGGCCTGTGGCCTTACGCTTTATGCTTACCTTTGGTGTCAAGCTCCTTGCTGGGGGGTCAGGATATGCCTTGTTCACGACATGACGGCCGAGAATGCGCCAAGTCCCTTCAATGTTTGTGGCTGGTCCATCATACAGCCGCAGGAAGCGGGGTGGCAAGTAGAAGTCACAGATTCGCCTGTACTCCACATCCTCGATGCCTGCAGCAAACGAGGCAGCTATTTGACTTTGACTGGCCGTGAAATGTGTTCTAAGTGAACCTGCTCAACCTACATAACAACTATTCCGTGCTGGCCAATCTACCTTGATTGTTGCCAATGCCCAGATTGAAGAATGAGCACGTAATACTGGCGTCACGGCCGAACAACTCAATGGGGTATGCGATGTTCATCTTGTTATCTTCGGGATTGATGTGGTAAACATGCGCATCCACAGAGTCCACGTCATCAAAGCTTCCCGCACAGGACTCCGAGGCAAACTGCGTCGCAGTTTCCAGGTAGCCATGACCCTCCTTGGGCTTCATCACATAACCAACAAGCACGTGATTTCCATTCCTTGGCAGTGCATCAGTTTGCTGCAGTGAGTACGGTGAGACCCGGAGCGAAAGGTCATAAGCAAACAGTTGGAATTACAATGGGCCACGTCGCAGCTTATGTCACAGGGATCACAACATTATTTTGAACAGGACCTTCAAACATGCCGCTTGAAGCAAAAGCCTATACGGAAGCTACACCGCCGTTTGCGCTGAATACCAATGCAGAAGCTGAAGCCCCCTCCATCATCTAGGGGGAGTATCCTGGACGACGACCACGACTACCACGACGACGCCAACACCGACGCCGACAATGACAACGAACACTATGCACAACAACCACCACTACGAACAACAACCACCACTGCGAACAACAACCACCACTACGAACAACAACGACCACTATGAAGAATAATAACAACCACTATGCGGCGGCGGCGGCGGCGGCGGCGACCACGACGACGACGGCGACCACAACGACCACGACGGCGATGGCAACGACGACGATGACGACCATCACAACCATCACAACCACCACCACCACCACCA